TTTTTCTTCTATGCAACTGTGATTAATTTACATACAGAAAGCCAAATACATTCTGGTTTTACTAAAGCAAATTTTAGTTTTACTACCACAAATATATTTCTCTTTCGCATTTTTCTGTTATCACAAATAATCTACTTGGATGCATACAGCAACCACAGAAAAAAATCTGTTCCACCAGACTTTCTCAGATGTCCAAACTATCAAAAAACAACAAGTATCAATTAAGATAACTAAAAAGACAGACAGACAAAAACTTGGTAACAACGAGATGCTTGCACAAAATAACTACAGCTTATCTAGGTGGTCAAATTACCAATATCTATTGAATTTAGGATTAAAGGGAATGGATACAAGGGAAAGATATCCCACCACCACAAAACTTGAGTTTAGACATGTATCAAGAGTCTGTTGTACTGACTTACTGAAATATCCATGACAATGTCTGTAAGTAGGCAAAAGCATGGGGTAATTTCCAGCACTCCTGTAATATCTCTCTTGGATGACTTACTGCTCTCCAAGAGTTGGAACGTCAAAGCTCATGCAAACTCAAACTGAAGATTTTGCAGTATGTGGAGGACTTACAAGGATCTGTCTCTTCTACCCAGCCACCTACTGTGATGAAGTTCATTAGGAATCATTTCCAAAACTGAAAACTAATATCAAATGCGTAGAAGCTGGCTAAGAAATTTAGAAGTGATAAAAGGAAAGCAGTTGCGCACACAGCATGTGATTGATACAAACCTGGTATCCAGCACAACTCCAGCTAAAAATACAAGTCAGCAAATTTCAGGAAATAGAAAAATTTCATTATAAAAAGTCATGCTAGCAAATGCCAAGAAAACAGAAATGTAAAATCTGGCACAGTTACCCAGACTCCTGAACTCAAGCTCTGAGGAAGTCAGTAATTTTAATTTTAATGCCAAGCATTAAAACACAGGTTAGAAATTAAATTCCAGCTTCTCTCAATTTCATTATGAGTTTTCTTCAGCATAAAGCAATCTTCAAAAACAAGCCTTTGAAACTGTAAAGGAAGATTCTATTGACAAAATAAAAGATGTGAACTAAATTCAAATGTACTACTAGTGGTGCCTTTTAAATAATCCATGTAGAATAACCAAAAATTTGGAATCTAAATGCCAATTTTATTATCTGTATGTGGAAGTTCCTACAGAGCTTGCCTTTCTTTTATTACTTCTAATGAAAAGCACATTATGTGCATCAGTGTACATCTTATAAATTCACATCTCTACTGAGTAACTTTTTACATCAATCTGCTGCCTTATCCAAATATTGTCCTCCTATTATCCAATAATATAGACTGCAACTGGACAATATTATCCATCTGCTGAAGCTTAGACCAGTTTAAAAAACATTTTTTCTACAATAAACAGGAAATCTCTGACCATCTACAACCAAAACACAGCGTTGCTAGCATTTGCCCTGGTTCCTAATTAAGCCTTTTCTATAATTTAGCTCATGAAATTAGCTAAAATGAAACAGATTAAAATAAAAATCAAAGTTTAAAAAGGACAGATCATTCACCTGTCAAAATACCCATAAAAGCAGGAAAAATGTTATTAAATGGAACACTAGAAAATATTGCTATGCAACTCACAAACTCTCTTGTGTAGACATTCAAAAGCAAAACTAATAGATTACGAACTAAACAAAATTCATTAGTTAGAGCACTGCGAAGCGACATCATTTTTCTTTTTTTTTTTTAAATTCTTTTAGAAAGACATTTTTGCCTGCATTAGTAGCAGCCTACTTTCTGTGTGCCAGAGAATACTGCACTCAAGAGAATGGAAGGATCCGCAAAGCCAAAGTCAGAGCTTTTTGTATCTCAAGCTTAACGTTTCCCTGTGGGTGTGTAACAAATCGCTGACAGGAAACAATGAAATAAACATTTTGTTTTGCCAAGTACCTATGTCGATGCCTCGCCTCAGCACTTGCTTCTCAGCATCCTGGTGGCCGATGAGATCCTCAACCCAGTGGATATAGTTCAGCCTCAGGGGGACGGTGGGAATGAGCCTTTCCACGGGGATGTCGATGGTGAGCCCGAAATCCTCCTTCAGGAGGGTGCAAGTCAGAGCCCTCACCGCCTCGGGGTCTTTGAAATTCAGGCTGAAAGGCACAGGCAGCGCTTTTAAGGGCGCCCTAGGGCGGACACAAACACATATACACGGGCGGGCACCCGTCCCGTCCCGTCCCATCCCATCCCACCCCGCCCCGGCCGTACCTCACCCTGCCGGCGAGGGTGGTCTGCACGTGCTGTTGGAACTCGGGGTACTTGCCGGCCAGGTAGGCGAAGTCGGGCGGCTTGTCCTTGTAGCGGTTGCGGGCGTGCATGGACTTGTTGAGGGCCATGGCGGGCGGCGGCGGAGCGGGACGGGAGCGGCGGGAGCGGTGGGAGCGGTGGGAACAGCCCCCAGGACCGCAGCCGCTCCCCGCCCGCCGCCCGGCCCCGCTCCCGGCGCGCACCGCGGCCCCCCGGGCCCTACCAAGGTGCGGCAGGCGGCGGGGGGGAGACAGCCTGGCACCGCCCAGATCAGACCATCGCCTGCCGGGCAGGGGGGGGAGAGTGGTCTGCTGGGAGGGAGCATCGACCGACCAGTTCCCATAGACTCATGGAATGTTGCGGATTTGGAAAGGACCTTAAAGAACATCTAGTGCCAACGCCCCCTGCCATGGGCGGGGACACCCTCCACTAGAGGGTTGATCAGAGCCCCATCCAACCTGGCCTTGAGCACTGCCGGGAATGGGGCATCCACAACCTCCCTGGGCACCCTGTTCCAGTGTCTCACCACCCTCACAATAAATAATGTCATCCAGCCTAAATTTCCCCTGTTTTAGTTTGCATCCATTACTCCTTGCCTTGTCACTACAGTTCCTAGCAAAGCATCCCTGTAGTCTCCTTCCGATACTGAAGGTTGCTATGAGGTCTCCATGCAACCTTCTCTTCCCTAAACTGACTAGTCCCTTCTTTCTCGGCTTGTCTTTGTAAGGGAAGTACCCCAGCCCTCTTATCTTGGCCCTCCTCTGGACTTGCTCCAACAATTCCATGTCCTTCTTGTGTTGGGGACACCAGAACTGTACCCGGTACGATTATAATGTAAATGTTATATATTTGGGCATCATCACTTCAGCATTAGCTGTTCAACTAGTAGTAAGGCAAATAAATAGAATTACATAAACAGTTGCATTTTTCTGGAGACTGCTCTGAGGCTCACAGGCAGCAGCATGAGGAACTTCCACTCTCATAATCGTATATATTACCCACCCAAGTCACCTTCATTACCTTGAAGAGAATTTTAGTGTTCTCTGAAACACTTCATTGCCATGGATTTCTGTAAAATTCCTGCATGAAGCCACTGGCAACCAAGCAGTGGCCTGGGGCCTGCTGCTTGTGGTTTACCTTGTGCCATGACCTTTGAAACACATGAATGTTAAATGATGGATTACAATGTTTGAGATGTGGGCCAAAAAAACACACCCAAGGCTTGGAAGATTTCTGAGAGTTTCCCCAATTTAAGCATAGTTTCAATCTACAGCATGTACTTTGAATAGTTACAATGCTGCTGTGCTTGTTGAACATAAATTATGAAAGCAAAACTGTATTACACTGAGCTTTGTACTATCTCTGATGCAAAACAAACAAACAAAAAAGTCATCCTCAATTAAAATAGTCTGTAGGCATAGCAAAACAAGGCCTCAGACTGGGAATTAAACCTGACTTCCCGTTCCCAGCTTTGTCATTTACTGTCAGGAATTTCTAAGCTTCAAGTAGGAAACCTTCAAGTGGAATAGCCCTAACTGCCTTAACATGATGCTTTGGATCCTCAGATAAAAACATGTAAGATTAACATTAAAGTATAACGTATTATTCTTTTATTTAAAGATATTTTCCTGTTTAAAAAGCCAAATACAAATCAAAATTACTCATTGCATACTGTTTAAAAATTCACTTTAAATGTGCTAGCATCCCCTTTAACTCTTGAATATCTGAGAAGACCTGCAACTGGATTTAATTTCAGTCCTACTTCCTGCCCTCAGCTAGCTTGTTGTCATTTGAGCTAAGGTTTACATATAAAAGCACATAAAAGTTGGGGGGTTTTCCTAAAAAATACAGGAGACCACCAAGCCATCCACTCTTGCCACTTTTGAAGTTATTCCCCTTCTTCTGCCCCCATCCACAGTCACAGAAAAGAAGCTGATATGAACAAAATCAGAACGGAGGTAAAAATACTAATTTTAATTCAGAGCATTTAGTGTATTTACAATAGAAAGTTCCTCTCTGGTCTAAAGATGAGAGATTAAAAAAATCCATGTTACAAATGTGTGGACAACCTGTACCTGACGCAGGCTAATTGATTTTTGCTACTTTTGGTTCACCCAGGGTAATAGCAGTCAGAAAATGATGGTGAGAGCCTGGAGATGGTACCAAATGGCTCTCACTCCCAAGTAGCAATCACAGAATGCAGTTCAGGAAGTAGTGTGAAGTTATTCAAAAGTTGCTAAAATATCTATACAGACACATATACAGTCCCATTTGCAGTTAGATTAGATTCATTGAATCATTCAGATAGATAAGCAGGTAGACACGAGCCTACCGACCTGTGGTGGAAGCACAGAGTTGCAGAGGTGCTCATGCTACCAGGTGAATAGGTACCATCTCACCCAGACATATGCATGCGGTCCTTCCCACTCTGCACTTGGACAAACACACAGGCAGGTGTTTTGTTAATGCTAACTTACATGGTTTCTAGGTATAGGAAAAAAAACTCGGAAAAAAAGCACCAACTCTCTCATCCGACTCGCTGGCTCAGAACCCTTACTCCCCTGGAGCCTGAGGGAAATGGTGTGTAAAGGATACCATCCTCCCGTTTCTCAGAGAGAGAGCCACCACTTCTGAAACTCAAAGTCTTTTGCCACAGCGATAATTACTCGTTGATACCGAGAGGGGGCAATCCTCTCCTGCTCCCAGAAATAGGCACATCCTCCCACCACTTACCGAGTGGGAATCAAACGGCTGCAATGTGAGCCACTTCAACAGGTTGATCTCGCAGAAAAATAGATCTGCAAGAAGTGAGTAAGTGCTTTAGCATCTGAACAGTCAGCCTAACCAAATCACCCTACAAGTTTACCCACCACATGGTGTGTGGAGCACCTGTTTCAGCAACAACTTGTCCATAGAGCAGCTGATCTATCAAGTCACTCGGAGCTCCTGTTTTCTTCTTGGTCAGAGTCCACACAGCTCTTCCTTTATGAGGTGCTTTCCCTCCTTGAAAAAGGAGTTGTTGCAGGGGTCTGTTGTGGCTTAAAGGTGTTGAACTACATGGTGGTTGAGAAGAAAACCTCAGCATTCCTCCCAGCATAATCTGCTGCTATCTCCAACAAACCCAGCTGACAAGTGTTAGGAAGATGGGGAGATATGAGGAAAGGAAGATAGTTTTCATCCACTCTTAACAGTCATAGCACAGGCAACAAAGCAGAAATAGATTAAAGATGGTTGTGGAGGCTGCAAGGCTGAGGAGAGTTCTGGTTTAGCAAAGCCTCTTGAATAGCATCACTGCAGCCACTGAGCTCCATCTGGTTGAGAACAGAGCTGATGTGCTCCACAGTTGCAGCACGGCCCATCTGCAGTTTCCACAGTCTAAGCATTTCGTACTGGGCATCTCGTAAACGCCGATGGTCCAGCTCAATTCGCTCTAGGTCATAGTCACTCAGACCCAGACGCCGCACAAACTCTTTCCACCGAGATGGCGGTACGTGATCCACCACAGTGTAGAGAATAGCAGGGTCTGTGAGAAGAGAAGAAAAACTGTGAGAAACAAGATTATGCAGCCTCAAGGAGAACGCGACTAATCCAGGGCTGGATGGTGCCTTGGGATCTTGCGTTGCCCCCTCCTGTTCAGGTCTTCTCCAGAGTAATCACACAGACTCGTGTGATGTCCAGGCTTGCTCTTATCCCTCAGAATGTAATGGTTATGAGCAGAGGTAAGCTCACATGCTTAGGGCCTTGTTGTAATACATTGCAGGAAAAAAAATTGTTCTGGGTCACTACCCCAGAGGCATTAAAACTGACAGCATGTCAACACAATCTATTTTGCTGGTAGGGAAAAAGGACAACAGAAAGGCCTTGCACAGATATTTAGCATCTACACATTCACAGGCTCTGGGCACGCTTTTGCCTTTGTACTGTGCCATGCATGAAGTACAGGTCACGTATACTGGGTAAGATCTGTCCAATGTACTCCTAGCTGCATCTGCATAATCAGGTTCTCATTTGCCTGGGGAAGGAGGGAAGGATGGGGGAGTTCCACTTACTGTCTGGAAGCTGTGTCTTCCTCGCAGGTCTGACACAGTCTGGTAACTCATGGGAACTTTGTGGCAGAGGTGCAGATGGTGCTGCATTCACTGGCAATTCTATTTCCTTCTGGGACTCAGGAAGAAGGATGGAAACTTCATTTCTTTTTACCTGAAAGATACATTGCTTATTTCAGAATCACCCACAGCAGCACAATACTCCTGCAAGTAATCAATATCTTTACATACTAAAATTTATCCAAGACAAATTTGGGGGAGCAGGTGCTGAGATTTTAGTTCTTCCTATATGCTGTGTTTGAGCAGAAAACATCACGTTTCTTTCCAGCAGAACCCTAAGAGTTTAAGTCTTTTTTGGCACCAAAAAACAGTAGTCTGGAAAAAAAAACATTTCTTTACAAATCAAGTAAGGCTGAGACCCAAAATCACCACCATTCTAAAACTCCACATTCCACCTTTCCCATCAGCCTTCTCTGTAAGGCTGTGGAAACCCCATCTCAAATACTGCTTGGACTCTCTTATTTCTACATTGGACCTGAGAGAATGCTGTGAAGCAGCACTGAAAGGCTAGTGGAGTAGTTCATCTGAAGTGAAGTAAAATTAGTTAAATCCTCCAAGCTTGGGGTACACAGAGAGAAAAGAGGATTAAGGGCCAGTTATCTGAACAAAATGCATCCAGAAAGAAAAAGGCAAAAACCAGGAGTTTGAGAAGCATCCTCTATAAGAAGGGAAGTATAATGTTAATAGCTAAACTTCTTACAGAAAATTACTTCTGAATTAAACAGCCCTATTACTCAGCTCATTTGAAAATACAAGGCCTGAAAACAGCCCATGGGGAAAAATATTACCCTTCATCCCAGGCTAACATAGTTGAAAGTGGAAGGTAAGGTCTTATACCCATCATCTTGCTCACCTCTGGTACTGGCTCCTTGGTTGTCTGTGGCAAAGAAACTTCAAAGGAAAGAAAAAGAAAGTAGAAATTATTTTTACTTCCTCTCATCCCAGAGAAAACAGGAAGCCAGTTATCACAGTCCTGCTCTCGAAAAGGGCTTATAGCGAAATGCACATATCCCAGCAATGAGCTCACACACACTTCCACTCACAGCTGTGGGCGTGGATGAAGAGTTGCAAGAACCTTAACAATAGCCTTAGCTATTGAGTTCTCTGGCCTTGCAGAAAAGTGGAGTAAAGGGATTCCACTTGCCCGCTCACATGTGTGCACATATAGAAACACACAGAAAATGATGTCTATCCCAATCAATATCACTGCATATGCTGCTGTACTCACCACAGGAGTAGAAAGACGACACTATCCTATTTTCCTGGACCAGCTTCCCAACTTTATTTACAATGTAGAGGATAGAGATAACTCCAAATATTGCAACAAGAATGCCAAGGACAAGGGTCCCGCCTAGATAAAAGGAAGAGAGCAAATGTGTGAGTGACTAAGAAAGGAGGAGGTAAGTGCTAGAAGAAGAACAGTAAGTGAAGATATACATAATTATATGTTATGGTTTGAGAGAGTGGAAAAAATAACACTTTTCAAAAGGCATTAACAGAACAACAGCCCACACTAAAAAGATTCCACTGCCCCTCAGTTCCCTGAAACTCACTCAGCTCGGATGAAGTTGGTGGGGTAGTCACTGGGCTATGACACTGCAAGCATTCTTCTCCAGTGCAGCTGAAAGAGCAAACCAGAGATGTGAGTGTGCATGAAATGATACACTAGCCATTTTCAACCATCCTAATTAACTTGCAGTGTGGCAAGTGACTTTGGCTTTTTATTGGGTTGATGCCTACACAGAGGAGACTGGGGGTGGCAGAGGGGAAGACCTAATTGCCCCAGAAAGGCAGAACGTTGTAAAATTATGTCTAGATGAAAGAACCTTAAGAAAAATTTCCTCCCTCCTTGGAGTTTATAACTGCTGTCTCTCCTACTCAGTGGTGGGACATCCAGAGTAAAAAAGCTCACCTGTTGCAAGGCTTGCAAATGTTACTACGTGACAGGAAGAACTGAGGCTTACACCTGCAAATTGTGTCCCTGTCCTTTGAACCTGTAGAGAAAAGAAGAAACTGTTGCCATAATCTGGACAGAGAAGAAAACAGAAGGAGAAAAATCCTCTCCAAGATGGATGAGATTATCCCTCTTTAAGCCTGGAAAACTGCTACTGAAGAAGAGAAAAAGGATTCAGTCTACTTGCAAGACAGGATTAGAGGAGGATAAATGTAAATAAAAAGTAAGAGTACCACTTTTCTTGTAGGTGAGACACCTCTGTAGAGGCTTGGAAAGGGACTCAAATTACAGTGCAGCTGAAATTGGTCTAATGTGCAAAAGCAGGAAAAGTTACTCAAGTTCAAGCATGACAGGAAGGGGAAACCATATTAGTCAGGCGAAGATGAGGGAGAAGTGGTCCCTGAGCAGCTGGGACTGGTGAGGAAGTCAGTCTAGGGCAGGGAGAAATCACTTCAAGCCGTGGGACACATATCTACTCTTGTGATCTGATATTCTGTGAGTGGAAGGGGTAAGAAATGCAAGTGCTATTGCTTCTAAGCAAGTCACAGGATGGACACTGAGTAAAACAGGTGTGAGGAGGAGCAGACAAGAATAGTTATCAAAGGACTTCAAGCTACATGAGAGGAGGGAAAAAGGTACTAGAACAAGCAGCATTCTGTGGCAAGTAAGGGACAGGACTAAAACAGTTCTACGCCAGCTAAGAGGGAAGGAAACTGCTCAAGGGTAGCACACAATGATGACAATTGTGGATAAGCACAAGTGTGGAAACTGTGACAAGATTACTGAGCACCAGAGGGAACACATTCACCAGTGAAACAGCAAACCTCACACTAGACAGGGTAAGAGATGGGAAAGGGATCAGAAGCAGCAGAATTTGCAAAGGAGAGGGGATAGCTTTAGGACAACAAGGTAACTGGCACTTAAGGGACATTAGACTACAGCACAAAGTGGAGGGCAGCAATCAGTATTTGTTTAAGATCTCTGATTCCTGACTGAAGATGAGGCACCTTAGGACAGCTAACAGAGGTACTTCTCCCAGACACCTGCATTATCCCAAGGTAATCCCCAGTTCCACTGGGTATAGTTCAGCATTACCTAAACAGCTCTTTAAAACACTGCACAGAACACTGTGGTGGTTCAGCAACTGACTGATAAGGAGTTCAGCTGAGCACCGGGGCCAGCAGTATTTTCATCCATTGTACTCAAAGTGCTTCCAGCACTGGTAGGGAAATGCAATGAGCGTGAGGAAAAAGACAAAAAAAGGAAGGCAAGAGGGAAACCTGCTCTAGAGCACAAAGACCTTGCTTCAGGACAGGCAAGGCAGAGGCACCAAAATTAACTAGAAAACAGCACCTCACAACACCCAAAACCCAGGAAAATGTTCAAGGACAAAAGGAAGAAACTGCGATAGAAAGCAGGGATTGATGGCAAGGCAGGAAAAAAATGGCAGTCTTTCTGGGGAAAGGGAGCAGACAAACCCAAGAGTCGCTCTGAAACTACAATAATTTCAGGGCAAGGCACTGCAGCATGTCAGAAATGAGCAAAGGGTTGTTAATGTCTACCCTAGTACAGTATGTCCATACTGGAACCATAACCATGCCATACTCACAGCTGGCAATAATCCCATTGTCACATGAGCTGCAGTTCCTACACTGGAAGAGATCAGGTTCAGAACCAAACTGATACTGATTCTTCAGACATCCACATACAGTATCTTGCTTTGGGGTGCAGGGGGCCTCTACTATCTGCTTGAGTTCTGAGGAAAGAAAGGAGAAAGGATTATTCCAACCTCTTCCCTCACCTTCATCAGAGAGCACTGTTACAATGATAGGTATTGTTATCCCCCAATTGACATAAAAGGGTCAAAAAGGCCTGCAAACTGTTTCTCAGACTGTAGTAATTTGGTAACCCTTATTCCTGCTGTCCCCAATCCCCTCCCATACACCATCTTACCCATTCAACTGCTTACTTTTTCAAGCTTCCTCACTCACCTTGCCATCCCCTCCAGCCCCCATCCACCACCATTTCCCTCAGATCCTACAGAGTTGATAATAACTCACCTGTACGACAACGTGTACACTGGAAGCATTTAGACATGATGTTATCAACTGCTGTGAATGTGCCATTAGCACACGGAAGACAGACAGGTGCCTGGTCAGGCCGATCACAGTCTCTTACCTTGTAGGTACCTGCAAGAAAATCACCTAACAGAGCTCTGACAGGAAGGCAAACGCATTGTCTTAGAGAGGACGAGAGTCACTGGTTCCTCAAAGAAACCCCAGAGTTAATGGTGTGAGGACCAAGCATGCTTCCTCTCACCAGTGTGAATGACACGGACAGCCCAAGAGATAAGGAATAAGAAGGGGTAGGTACTAAGGAAGGGAGCACTGATGTAGCTGTAGGAAAGAGAAAGTTTGAGAGTGCAGAACAGGGAAATACCCCCAAGGTGAAGGTTGCTACTACTGTATTTATTTTACGTACCTGCATGACACCTCATGCAGCAGTGGGTCTTTCTGGGATGTAGGTATTGGTCCAGTTGACAATGAACCTGCTTCTTTTCTCTCCTCAAGGGGTTAGAGGGGTCTCTTCCATCCAGAGCTACACGATGGACTTGCAGTGTATATGGCACCGGAGTAATTTCTACAGATTCTTTTGTCAACACACAGATAAATGTTAGGATAACCTGTAAATGCAGATGGAGGGAGAGGGAGAGAAACAAGGTGAGAAAACATCACACCCCTTGCAGACTGCACCCCTGACTTCAGCACTTAGAATCAAATTTTACTATAACAGTGAGTTCAATTTACTTGACAATTTGGAGATTAGCACTCTCCACTGACAAATGTATGGGGGGCAGATGATTTACAAAAACAAAAAAAAAACCAACAACAACAATAATGGATGCCTGTCATCTCTGTTAGTAATGTGCCATATAATGGTCTCTATGACAAACTGGTTGTATATAAAACAAATACTTTTCATGATGTGCAATTTACAGATAGAATGCTTTGAAAATGCTGCAGCTTGTGAGAAAATTATGCAAGAGCAAAGGAATGTTTTTATTAAGGAAGGCAGTAAGGCCATCCATGTAGATTTATCAAGAATAAATACAGTTCCACAGAGAAGAATGCATCCAGTACTTGCAGTTCTACTGAGTAAATGAACAAGATGGGAAGTTTGGAATAAGAATGCAGAGGAGGATTTCACTGCCTTAAAAGTACAGGAAAGCTTCCAAAACTACTCCTGAAAAAGGTAGCCCTAGAAATATGGGAATTCAGGTTTTCAACTTCTCCCCACATCAAACATGCCTCTTAAACTGCAGCTGATAACATCAGCCTGTACATTCTGACACAAAAAGGTGCATTTTCTTTTTTTTTTTAAATTCCTTTAAGATTTTATTTCTATTTTTCCATTTGAAAATTACTGTTGTCATGCCAATCTTAACAGAAATATTAAGGCTGGCATGACTGCCACATGGCTGTAAGAGAGCATGAATATGTACACACATAACAAAGGGTTAGAAGAACAGCCTGTATCAATAATGAAGGACGCCATTCCCTGGACATTTTTTTCAAGACACTATTCCCAGCAGTGAAATTGAGAAATATGTTTATGTCATGGCCAAAAGGTCTACACTCTGGTAAGACCACAGCATAGATGACTCATCACCAAAAGATCCTGCACCAGGAGGATGGTAACGAGATTGCAGCATATCACAAACCCTATTCCTTTGCCTGTTGGCCCAAAAGAAAAACAGACCCTAGGTATGTATTTCAAATATGCATTCAAACAAGGAAGAAACATACAACAACAAAAAGATTTAAAAAAACCCCAGCAAACAAAACAAATCCAGGTAACAACTTGACCCGAGATTTGTGAAACCTGGATTCAGCAAGTTTCTACACCAAAGACCCATCCCATCCCAGCTGATAACTTCTGAAGGATATGACAGATTTGCTCAAAACCTAGTTTGTAATACCATAGAGAACTCTAGCAGCACGATGAAGACTTGACAACCAGTATCCCTTGTCATCCACGTTGCACACAAGTGATCCTGGCCACACCATCTGGCCACATGTATGTTGATGCTTCTGAGGGCATTGCAGAGAGCTTGTGCCAACGCATCAGATCGTATGAATCAACTAATTTTTTTGCAAAAAACACCACCCCATGCAAATAGTCTCACACAGAGTTTTACCACGCTACCTTCCCTTTAATTGTAATGTTTGCCCAGCTTCCTTTTTTTGAAAGTGGCAAGATGCCCAGCAGTACAGGCACAGCTTCAGAGTTCTGTTTCTTTTTTGCTTTTTCAGCTAGGAGAGTTATAGCAAAAGCAAAGTAAACCAATAAGGGTAAACCACAATGCTGATACCAATTTTGTGGTTGCAAGCTCAAGAAAAGATACACAAATGAGATGGCTGTGACAGCCCCACGCTGTCCTGTTTCTCTCTCAGAATTAAAGCTTTGGGGGAGAAAGGTACATACATGAAAGCAACTTAAAACCTCAAGAAGCATGGGGCTTTGCAACTCTGACAAAGCTAAAACACCATTTTACAGAGAGCTCTGTCATACAAGGACACATTCAGTAGACCAGATGTTAAAACGGCGAACAGGAAAAGAGAACCACATATTTAAATAGCTATCATTTCAGACTTAATTATCTGACCACAGGATAACTGTAAGCACTTCAACAACTCCTCTATAAGAAACAAAAATTGTTTCAGCAGATGGCAGTCTTACAAGATTGCTTGCTTGCAGGAAAATGGGTAAAAGATCATTCACACAGATGGTCTAGTCTGACAACATCAAGAATAAAAAAATCTCATTCTCTGGCCAATGATCGATTCCCTGACATAAGAATATATACAGTCAGCCCGTAAGTCACACAAGTCAGCAACAGAAAGAAGATGGAAGTGTCAAAGATTAAGCCAAAAACACAGAGAAAATTGGTCAGATACACCTTCAAAACCAAAAGAAAACAGAAATATTTTCAATTTTTCAGATTAGGTGAAAGTGTGTCTATATGTGTAATAAAACCAGAGTTAACACACAATTACTAATCATAATCTGAGGAACAGCAAGTCACAGGCCACAAGTGACTCACAAACCAATGGCTTGGCCATCCAGAAAAAACATTCACATGGTGAAAAAAACCACCACCATTTTAAGTAACTTCCCTAGCCATTTTTACTGATTTACACCAGTGACAGACTGCATAAAATTCAGGCAATACGTGAAAGTAAAACAGTCTATTCTATTTCGGTTGGAAAGGATCTACAACAATCATACGGTCCAACTGCCTGATCCCTTCAGGGCTGACCAAAAGTTAAAGCATGTTGTTAAGGTCATTGTCCAAATGCCTCTTAAACACTGACAGCTTTGGGGCATCAACCACCTCTCTAGGAAGGCTGTTCCAGTGTCTGACCACCCTCTCAGTAAAGAAATGTTTCCTAGTGTCCAGTCTGAACCTCCCCTGGCTCAGCTTTGAACTATTTCCAGGTGTGCTATCACTGGATCCTAGGTAGAAGAGATCAGCACCTCCCTCTCCCCTTTCCCCTTCTCATGGAGCTGTAGAGAATGATGAGACCACCCCTCAGCCTCCATCTTTGCAAACTAGACAAGCCCAGACATCTCAGTAGCTGCTCACAGGACATGTCTCCTGTGAGGCACAGGGTCTGCCAGCCCTTCCACAGCTTTGTTGCTGTTGAAAATTGTATATTACTTGAAAGTAGCTAAGTGCTTGTTTAACATAGGTTAGAATTGTTAGGCTGCAAGTTGAACTTGTAGACTGCAATCTGAACCATATGGCTGCATTGTGTAAGTCAAAGATGGATCATAGTGAAACATGGAGATAAAAACCTGAATGTTAGTAATAGTTAGAATTAAAAAAAAATGTAGCTTAAACATGACTTAAAAATTAACAGCTAGAGTGTTAAAAAAATAATTAATAGCCCATAAATTGTGGTATATGAACTGTAAGAACCATATTACAACATGAACTACAGAACTGGCCAAAATCCCCATCGAAACCAACCTAAGAAGATGCGACGCTGACCATGTGGCAACCTCTTGGAAACGAAACAATGAAGACAGAGAAGACCCCAGACCCTAATAATGTTTTGTCCAGACTGTCATGTGAGGAATGGGGAGGTCAGATCATAAGGGTATCATGGCCCTGGGATTTCTCTCTTCAGGGTCCCTCTTTTGAGGCAAGTAGCTCCAGCTACCAGATATCATAATTGACTTGTGCCCATAAGCCTATCTGATGGAGATGAGAACCTAGTGTCAAGAATTTCTGGGCATCCTCTGGGCACATTCCAGGACCTCCACTTCCCTCTGAAATGGTGGGGCTCAGAACTGCACCCAGCACTCCTTGTGAGGCCACACCAACGCTGAGCACAGTGGGATGTTCCCCTCCCTCTGACTGGCTGGTGATGCCGTGTTTGATGCTCCCCAGGACGTGGTTTGCCCTCTGGGCTGCCCAGGCACACACTGCTGACTCACACTGAGCTGCTGCCCACCAGCACCCCAGGGCCTGCTCTGCAGGGTGCTCTTCAGCCACTCCTCTCCCTATTTATACTTGTGCCTGGCAGTACTGCATCCCCAGGTGCAGGATCCAGCACTTGGACTTGTCAGATTTCATTCCATTAATCATTGCCCAGTGCTCCAATTTATCTAGAATAAATACATTGAACAGAACTGACCCTAGAACTGAGCCCCGAGGAACACTGCTGGTGACCAGCTGCCAGCCAAATGTAGCTCCATTTACCAAGCACTGAAGCCTCAAAACATTGATAAATGCTTGTCAAGGCAAAGTCTTCTGCAAGTGAAATAAGATGATTTTCCACTGTTAGACATACAAGATACTCAGCTTCCCAGGAGAGAAAACAAGTACCCACTAACCAAAGCTGCATAGAAAAGCTGACAACCTGTATTACCTAAGCTGAATGATAATTAAAACCACATCATGCACACTACTGATTCACAATCTCAGTGAGTGGAGACTCCCCAGGGAAAACAGAGTCAGAAGAAACTCTAGGTTTTACTTCTGAAACTGATGCAGGAATAAACAAAATATGTCAGATGAAAACCAGAATGCTGCTTCCTTAAAACATTCCACTTTTCTGGGTGACAGCTACTTTCCCCTCACATTCTCCTCACATGTGAGGCAACCTTAGTTCCCTCTTATGTCTCATGCCAGCACTTATCAACAGCTACAATCAAAAAAAATCAAGGCACAAGCCCAAAAGCTCTTCTATGCAAAGTTTTGATAGCTAAAACAGGAATTAGGAGCCCTTTCACCATCTCTAAACTCAAATTTTCTTGAATTACTGCCACTACTACAATTCTCACCCTTGCTGCTCCTTCTGCCTCACCAGGCCATGCTCAGAGACCTGCAAGTGAGGTGACATCTCCACAGAGTAAGGCAAAGAAAGAAAGGAACAACAAAGATAAAAGTGAAAAACACAGCAAGATGCCAGAAAGAGAGGTGGTGTAAATAATAAAGGACATTTGAGGGCAGCGTTCTCAGGCCAAGGACAAATAAGGCACAGTATCTGAAACAGAGGGACAGCACAGGAAAGTGCAGCATATCAGGGCTACTATATTATCACCTCACAAGACCAGGAGTACCAAATTACTCAGCATGGATGCCGTGACTCTGTCACATGCTCTACCTGCCTATGCAGGTCTGTAGCTCTGCTGCTACCTGCAAGGCTCCTTGCCTTCAGGGAGAAGGGTGGAGAAAATCAGGTACAGTATGACAGCATGATGGGAAAAAGAGAGGGTTGTGTCGGGAGCAAGACTCCCTCTCCTAGAAACTCAGTGGATGCCTAGAGGTGGGCCAGGGCTGGTCACATAAGGGAAAAACTGAGTGAGAAGGATGGGGATTAGACAGGTGAGAAACATCTCCTAACCCACATACAGCATGTTATGACCCCATGCTGTTCACATGAACTAATAGGTATAGCAGGATGCTCTGCCTATGTGGGAGTAGAACAGCTCAAACTTCACCCTGTTTGCTAAAGTTAACAGTGGTGGATGAAGAAGGGGGTGTCATGCTGCTTTTGGTGTTGAAGAATGCTGAGACCAGCCCAACTCAGCAACCCCAAAGTTAAATATTCTGGGGATGTGAAGAACGGTGTTTCCTGACAGAAATTGGCACCAGTGAGGATGTGGTAAAGTTCCTGATAATGGAACTGATAGTACTGATAACTTATCTAAAGCTGCTGAGCTGACATGGCTAGCCTAGAAACATAGGACTGACAGTCAGTCACTTTACAGTATAAAAGCCTAGTTCCACATTTTAACAGCAGGCACGCCTAAGATGCCCCTTCTAGAAGTGTCTGTGGAAACTTCTCCCTGGAGTGGTGATGCCCCTCCAGGTTACCCCTCAACGTTGAGCAGAAGAGATTTGCCAACGATTGTTGGTATGGATAAGTAGCATCAGTCTAGACTTAATAATTATTTTGCTAGGTTTAATATTGTTCCTTCAATATTGCTTAAAAAAATGGCACACTATACTAGTAATTATAACTATCTATATTGTGTAGTAAATAATTGTGAATGAAGTCTTTTAGTCTAAACATTATCATCATCAATAAAATAAATATTTTATACATGCAAATAGATTTAGTTTGTCATTCTTAATCCTGGAGGACAAAGTTGCACAAAGATTCCACTGGAATAACTTAACCGCTTCTTTCAAAAGAGAATTCCATTTTGCAAATTCCTTTGTTAAACTAATGAACTACCTGCAAATAAAAGGCATTATAAGTCATTAGAATGTCTCAGTATTTCTTAACAGAAAGTTCTCTTGGCTAAGGAACTCAGCATGCCACATACTCAATGCACAAGTATTTTACATATTAGTCAACTGTTAGCCTTTTTGATGACTCATACAAAATTACTCAGCTTGGATGTTCAGAGGAAAACAGAGATCCTGCTCAGATTGATGAGTTATGGAAGAAATCAGGGTCCAGAATCAACCTTATGTTCTTGGACTGCTTCAGCCATTTCCAAAAGCTCTTTGAGATTTGCGTATGTTTTAGTTTGCTATACAAAGATGCACAGGAAACCAGAACTTCTGCTTTACACACTGAGAAATGTGCAATAAAGCAACATTTACAGGAAGCTTTTCTCATTGCTCACTAAAACCTGGAAAGGTCAAAGAAGGCTACAAGAACTACTATTATAAATAATCCCCCATTTCATGAAGTTCAGATGGAGGAATGCTGTACTTTAAGCCTCGTCTAAAATCAGGAGACTGGCAATAGCTTTGATTCAATGAAGAAAGGCCTTAGAAATCTTAACTTAAAACCCAAGAAAATTGTGATTATCTATAAAGATCATGGACTTCACATCATAAAATGTCATACATATATATATGCAGTATATAAAGTTAGAAGTTTTTACTTCATATTAGCAGAGAGAAAGAAAATAAAGGAAAAGTCAGTAGGTGGTCACAATCATAAGAAAACTTCTTTTGAAGTTTTTCTCAGAGGACACAGTGGTGAACACTGTGGCAGAGTCCTCAGTGCACTGACATACAACACCCCAGTACTTTGCTTGCCTGTGTTCAGGGCTGAGTTCCACTGCTCTGCTGTACAGAGCACTGAAAGAACAAGAGCTGTGGGAAGGCTCAGCAGGATTCTCCCCCTTCAATCCCAAAATGATTTTCAGCTGAGCACAAGCCCTTGGCCCCTGCCCACGCTGTGCTGCAGATGTGCTCATGCCCCTTGTCAGTGACTCACTAGATGAATTTCTGTCATGCAATTCTCAAATGCTGAGTTCTAATCACTGGAACAGATACATTGTTGTTTGTTTTAACAGAGAAATGTAGTGACATTGATTTGAGATGTGCTTTCTACTGTCAGGTTCCCAAGACTGCAACAGAAAAATCTGTGTCCAAAGGGAGCACTCAATTAACCAGGGATGATGATAAGAATATGAAAGAAACACAAGACATCTGCCCTAAATATAAAGAAAGCCCCTTTGTGATGACTAAAGAAAATGGGTAAGAAAGAGCAAAATGACAACATTGGTTTTACCCCCAAAAATACTGCTAATGCAAAAAATGGATTACTTGATAAAAAGTAAGGGGAAAGCATCCAAACTGACAACACTGATTACTTATAAGAACATGAATTACCACATAACTGAAATTAGCAGAGACATGAATATGAACATTTTGTTTGGCTAGAAGCAGACAGTCCTCAAAAACAGAAATTAAAATCACATTAATCAGTACATAAAAGGTTTAATTAATCTGGTTGGAAAAAAAAACCCACAGATGAAAATCTGGTTGAAATGGAATCAAATGCTACCAATCATTAGGATGGAATTTGAGAACAAAACTGATACTGTTCTTATGCAAATATAAAAATTCATAAGGATTGAACCTGGACCGTAGTTCTGGTCCCCAATCTTGAGAATACAAATTAACCTAGATGTTATACAGAGAAAGGTAACAATGACAATCAGTGGTACAGACTGGCTGCTATAAAGAGAATGATTAAAAATACTGGTCTATAAAAGACAAAACCGAGTGGAGGATACTCTAGAGGGCCCAAAGTCATGAATACCATGGAGAAGGTGAAATGGGATGAGTGTTCCCTGTCTCCTCCAATACAAGAACGAAGAGGCATCATATAAAACAAGCAGGAGATAGGCTCTAATCAAATACAGGGAGGTACTTTTTTAGCCAACGTGTAGCTGAGATGTGGGTCTCCATGACAGAGTGCTGGGGGTGCCAGAAACGTGCCCAGCTTCCAAAAGTAATCATCACACTTATCAGCAGAAGAAAAAAAACCAACACACTCAGGGGTCCAAAATATGAAGATGCCATTTCAACTCAGAAATTTCTACCATCACAAATCACTGGAATTGGAGAGAGTATTTTTATTTTTTTATTTCTGCTCCAAAACACTTGGCAGACACCTGCTGTTGGGCACTATTGGAAACAGGATGGTGGTCCAATTCTTACAATTCACTTGGCGGCCTGGTTTTCAATTTTTATGTAATGTAGCTTCTAACTTCAAAATGGCAATTCCTCCCCTTACTTTCAAAAGGAATCAATGCCAGAAGCACCCTTGTGGCTATTTTGTCTTTTTCCTTCATAAACTGAACTTTTTTAAAGAAATGAAACTCCCATTATAATTTTTTTCTTAATGAGACAGAAAACCCGCTGGCCTCAGCAAAGACAGATGTCACTTTGTCTACTGTAGCAGTTAAAAGTCCATGGGGAAAACGCAGACAAGCTGATAATGAGTACAAGGACAGACAAAGAGAGAAAATGCATGGAAACAGGCTACATAAAATTTTGAAGAGTCACAGAAAACATATAAGAATCAGAAAACTAGAAGGGCGGCATCAAGGGTGTAAGAAACACCATGAGGGCAAACAGAGGATGATATGCAAAGTAAATGGCAGATGGAAGGGCATGCAACAGAGTAACAATTGTAACGCTGAAAAAATAATATGATTTTATGGAAAAGATAAACATTATCTGTAGGGAGTACAGTGTTATTGAGAACTTGAAATGACAAGCAAATAGGAGGGGGGAAATTTCCTCAAAAAGATATCTCACTGAAGGACACTTGCTCCAGCATATTATTTAATTGAAGATAAAACAATTAATTTGAGGAATCCAATAATTTTTTTTTTTGCATTTCATTGTCAATAATATGAATAACTCATATAGTATCTGAGTTACAGCAAAATGTGTGCACCACTATTCATAAACCAGAAATACACTTTTCCAGGTTTACTAACTACGAAATCTACATAAGTCAACAGTTTATGTACCCTACCTAGGTCCTAGGATGGTAAGTGATCCACAGTTAGAGCCAAAGTGTAGAGTGCTCCAACTCCTAAGTTTTAGTTGAGTTCTCTTGCCCATGCTAGACGTCTTATTACCTGGTTTCCAAACTTTCCAAGTGGAAAAAACCAAACCAAAACAAAACCAAACACACTCCTCTGGAGGAGGGTAACATTGAGTGAAATAGTTGCAACTTTCTGACAGCAAAGTAACCACTAACCCAGCATTACAAGTCCAGCTCAGCCAGGTGGAAGTGTGTATTACTAGGATGCTCTGGTATTAAGGTATAAAACGTTTGACCTTGTAGCCTCTATAGCAGAATTTGTAGCCATGTCATGATGCTGAGTGATGCCACCCCTACTGTCACAGCTTTATCACACCTCTGCTGATACCGGATGGCCATTCATGTCTAGCAGTCAGGTAGTTCATAAAACTCTCGGATTTCTTTTACAACTTTTTCACCCACAAAATTACAACTAGCAGTTTAAATGTCTTGCCCTAAGATGCGCAAGCAGGCTAAAGAAGATTTATCTGCAAAGCTGAACTTGTTTGTATCCAAATCCCGTGGTTTGGGACATAGCTACGGACGCCTAACCTTTAAATGCCCGCAAGGCGGGGGCGGTTAATCTCCGGCTCCTGCACGGAGGCGGCGGGAGCGGAGCGGATGCGATCCCAGCGATCCCAGCCCGGCCAGCTCCGTGCTCCCGGCGAGCCCCGGACCGCCCCGCGCGTTAACGGCCGCGCCGCGGGCTCCAGGGAATCCGCCGCCGCTCCTGTAAGCCCAGACGCCTTTTCCCTGACTCAGGGATAAGTCCCGGAAACGGCGCCGGCAAAGTCTGTGCCCAGCGGAGGGCGGGGAGCGGAGGGAGGGAGGCAGCGAGCCCCGCCGGGCTCGCCGCGGTCCCGCTGCCCGGTGACCCCGCGGGCGCCCAGCTGATGGCGCGGCTCGGCTTCCCGACCCGTTACCGCCGCTCCGGCAGCAGCCTCGACCGCCCGCCTCGCCCCCCCGCCGACTCACCGAGCCCCGTCCCCCCGCTCTCCGCCCCGGCGCGGGGCGGCCGAAATGGAAGCCGCAGCCCCCCGGAGAGGGCGAGCAGAAAGCGGGCTGTCCGGAGAGCGGCAGCGATGCGGAGCCCTACGGCGGCGAGTAGGGTCGAAGGGAGCCCGGGCCCCAAAGCTCGGCGGCGGGCACCGCTCTGCTCACCCGCAGTCGCCCGCAGGTCCGGGGGAGCGGAGGAGTTGCCCGGCGAGGCGGTGCCCCGCCGCCGCACGGTCCCGCTCTGCCGGGAGCGGCCAAGTCCCCGCCGTGACTTACCGTCCCCAGAGAGGTGCGGGGCAGCGCCGGGGCGCGCATGGCTCCGCGGCCCGCTACATCCCCATGACAGGGCCCCCCACCTCCAGAGGAAGCCGTCCCAGCCCTACGCAGCCCCGACCGGAGCAGCGCGGAGAGAGACTACCCCGTCTCCAACTTCCTGGCAGAGGCAGCAGGAAAGAGAGCGGCGAGCGGGAGGTGGCCCGGAGCAGCGCCGCGCCCCGCCCGCCCTCCGCCGCGCACAGGCTGCCGTCGGCACTTTCCCCTAAAAAACGAGAAGGTCAAGCTGAAGAAAAGCAACGGATGGCTAAAACTGCTAAAAAACACACAGGAAAGGAGTCAGAGGAGGTTCACTGCAATCTTAAAATTCCTGGGCATAGGAGTGTTTAATCCTAAATACGTAATTTTAAGTGTGAAACTTAACCACGTACTTGTAAGAAAGACTTTTTGCATCTTTACTGACTTAATTTTAAAGAACGGCATTTTTCAGCCATGACCAGCGTTTTTAGAGTCCATATGAAAATCCCATAGTTTTTAATTTAAAACACGCATTTTCTTGTATGCTCCTATGAACCAGCCATACTGATAGTGCAAATACAAGTGAAACCTACATAACATTCTGCATGAGCTCTGCTTCATTTAATATATGCTCTTAGCATGTTTGAAAAACAAAAATACAGTTAGGAGTAAGAGGCTAAATGATAAAGAACTCCCCTTCGTTTATTGCCCATTAAGACCTCCCCTTGTTTCCTCCAAGTATCTCTCTACTAAGTCAAAGGCATTAAATCAAGGTACAAAGCATCGTTTTGGAAGAACTTGCCCATTTCAAGTGTATAAGCCCAAAATGGGTACAATTCACTCCATGGAGTGCCTGATTTCCTATGGACAAACCGAAACACCTCCAGAGACTGTGCCTACTATAGAGTTGCTTATCTACTGTGTGGAAGCCAACAACGCCATGTGCACGGGACAAAACAAAAGGGCACTTTTCTGCACTTCAGCTTGGAACAGCTCTGACTTTCTAGCTGCAAGTCCCAGGAGGGAAGGAAATAGCAGAATAACCCCTTATCAGGTTGCAGCCATCTCCAGGGTAGAGATGGAAAAGATTTACCAGGTTTTGTCCTGTTCATTTCCTTGCCTCGAATGAGGACAATACAAAATCAGACCCTGAAGGGAAAATTCTTGCACACCGATGAACACATTCTGCAAAGGAGGAAATATTTTTAATAGCCTGTTTCAGGTTTAGCACATGCTGTCATGTGAGTGGATGAGGCACACCCTTCAATCTTCATGGAGCCTCAGCCTTCAAAAAAACCACAAAAAACACCATTTCTCTAGAACCCTGCAAATGTCACAGAAATCCCCACAAGCCTTCCCATTTTACTACTCCCGCAGCTCAGGGAAGGGATGGCACTCTCACAGCCCGCTGCACGTTTGACATTTACACTAATGTCAAGCACATGACTGCACATCCGCTTCCTAGCTTTTGCCAGAACTGGCAGCTCCGTGCCTTCCTCCATCCCTGGCACCTCCCTGCAGCCTGCCAGGCCTCTGGCACTTCCCAAGGCCCCGTGACTTTGTGCCAAAGCCTAGAGGGACTGAGCCCACCCTTCGGTCACACAGCTTGTCTGCCAGCCTGGGTACTTTATTCCTGCTCCTTGGGTTTGTGTGGTAGCAAGGTTTTCGTAGCAGGGAGGCTACAGCAGTGGCTTCTGTGAGCACCTGCTAGAAGCTTCCTCCGTGTGTGGCAGAGCCAATGCCAGCCAGGTCCAAGATAGATGCACTGCCGGTCGAGGCCAAGGCCATCAGAAATGGTGGTAATGCCTCTGTGATAACATATCCAAGAAGAAAAAAAAAAGTTATTGCACAGATGTAACTGTGGACAGAGAAGAGCAGAGTGAGAATATGTGAGGAACAGCTCTGCAAACACCAAGGTCAGTGCTGAAGGAGGGAAGGAGATGCTCTAGGCACCAGAGCTGAGGTTCCCCTGCAGAAGGTTCCCCATGCTGAAGACCATGGTGAAGCAGCTGTATGCCTGCAGCCCATGGAGGATCATAGGAGTGCAGAGATCCATCTGCAGCCCGTGGAGAAGCCCCATTTCTGGAACAGCTGGATGCCCAGCTGTGAGCCTATGGGAAGCTCACGCTGGAGCAGGCTCCTGGCAGGGACCTGCGGCTCCATAGAGAGAGGAGCCCATGCTGTAGCAGGTTTTCCTGGTAGGAACTTGTGACCCTGTAGGGGACCCACGCTGGAGCAGCCTGTGCCTGAAGGACTGACCGTGGAAAAGTGACCCACGTTGGAGCAGTTCGTGAAGAACTGTTGCCCTTGGGAAAGACTTACGCCGGAGAGGTCCATGAAGGATGGTGTCCTGTGGGAGGGAGCTCCCGGGAGCAGGGGAAGGACTCCTCTCCCTGAGCAGCGGCAGAAACAACTGACCGTACCCCCCATTCCCCGGCTCCCTGCGCCGCTCGAGGGGAGCAGGTAGAGCCAGGGAAGGAGGCTATTTTACTTCCAATCATCCTGCTCCGATCTTGTTGGTAACAAGTTCAATTAACATCCCCAAGTTGAGTCTGTTTTGCCCGTGACGGTAATCGGTGACTGATCTCGCTCTGTCCGTATCTCAACCCGCGACCTTTCAGTTTATTTTCTCTTTCCAGCCCGCTTGTGGAGGGGAGCGATAGGACGGCTTAGATACCTAGCATCCAGCCACGGTCAACCCCCCGCCGAACCTCTCCCGGGACCCTGCCTCCCGCCACCCCTGTCGGGCGGGGCGGGAAGCGCCGCGCGGGGGCGGTGGCTCTTGGATCTCCCGGCAGCCTCTACGCGTTTCCCGTCGCCACGGCAACGGCGGGGCTGTCATGGCGGTGGGGTGTCATGGCGGCGCCGGGCACGGCGGTGAGTGAGCGGCCGAGGCGGCCCCGGGCCCTTCCCGCCGCTCGGCGCTGAGGTCCCGCTCCTCTGCTTCTCTCCCCCAGGAGCAGCGCTGGCTGCGGGAGGTTCAGGACTTCGCTCGCCGGGCGCTCCCGGGGCCGGACGGGCAGGAGCCAGCTGCGCTGGAAGCGGTGCTGCGGTGCCTGCGGAGTGCGGGCGGCGGGGCGCTGCCGCTCGGCTACAGGTGACGGCAGGGCGGGATGAAGGGAAGGGGCGGAATGGGATGAAGGAACGAGGCAGGGGGAGTCCTCTTTTGGCCCGGTGCCCACGCGCGGCCCTCCCGGGAGCTCCACGCGGCTCGTCCGTGCGCGATGCTCACCCCGGATGGCGGGCGTGGGAGGGATGCTGTCGAGCACGGGTAACCGCACGCCTTGCTTTGGCTTCGGTGCTCCCCCGGCCGCCCTTGCGGTATGATTAAGCACCATATCCGCTAGTCTGCGGTAGGCAGAGAGTCTCATCGAAGTGGGGCATCTCGCTGAGGGGGAGCTGCTGTTTTGTACGGCACCTGCACGGCAGCTTCCCGGCTGGATCCTGACAGCCTGCCCAGGAGGATGTTTCTGCGTTACAGTCTCCGAAGCTGTTGGCCAGCCGAGGTCGGCTTTCAAGTGTGCACTCTAGGATAACGTGGTCCATATTTTAATTGGTAAAAGGCTTTTGGATGCTCACCGTCACAAAAAACATGTAGCTTGTTGAGAGATATATATATTGAAAGGTTTGGCTTGTCTGGATCTGTTTTCCTCTTGCTCCAGCTTATGGTGGGAGAATATCTACTAAAACCTTTGGCACAGCCAATTTGGGAGTAAAGGTCATTTGCAATTGACTAGGGACTCGTGACTTTTAATTTTGTACTAATAGTTCATAAGTGTACATGGTAGATCTTTTAAGCCAGCTAAACTGATCTCATCTAAGCAGTATTTTTTCTATATATTTTATGATGTTTAAACCAGAATTTGGTTTATATTCAGGAGAATATATTCACAGAGAAGAGTTGAAAGTACTTGGTAGTTATCTCATGTGAGGTCAGTGGTCTGTTTCTGAGCAACATGCTACATCTACAACTAACTACCAAGCTCTGGATCACCAGAAGGGAGTTTGTTTAGTTCTCTATATGTAATAATCAGGACCCAATGTACTACTGTAGTTTTGGTTTCTCCCAAAAAGCACTCAGCACATTTGGCAAAAACATGAGCAGCACCGTGTTCTCCTTGTGGATCATAGGTGTCAGTATTCCTGATACTGCTCTGTCTCTGAGAATGGAACATTTTCAGCTAATCTCCTGTTCAGATTCCTGTGAAATACACAAGTACCTGCATAAATTCATGTCTTCTCATTAATTTTTTTTTTTTAATATCTAAATTCTGTTTATTGCTGATTCAGTTCTGGCTTTGAACTTTTGACACCTGACTAGTCAAGTGAAACTCTTCAAATTCATGCTCCCTGAACTTGATTATGTCCTGCTACTGAGCAAGTGTGTGTTGTGAACAAAGCTCCAGTTTCACAACCTGAAATTGTTAGTGAACCTCACTGGGAACAAGTACTGAAGTCACTACCTGGAGAACAGTTTGTGTTTGCTCTTTCAGTGTTGATGCTAGCATGGACAGAGGACTTCCATTAATTCTCTAACATAGATAGCCAGGATGTAAACACCAGTGATGAATGCTGCCATGGTCATAATAAACACTGAAAAGGTTTAGAATCTACTGAGGATACTGCCTTGTTCTCTCCCATGTTCAGTACCATGGTCAGTCTAAGCATGATAGATGCTAAACTGTGGATGGCTTCAGATCTGGTTGATTTAATTTTGCATTTCATCCTTCCCCCTCTCCCCAAAGCCAGAAGGGTGGGTGGAAGGATTCAGGGCTAAGCCTGGCTCTGTTCTTATAAGTGAAAGCCCAATCTAATATTACAGACTTGTGTTTCTCAGCTTTGTATTGTGCAAACTATCCACAGAAGAGAATTTGTTCCAGAACTGTCACAATCTTCATCTAGAACTTGTTCAAAATTATTTTTACTACAGTTCAGCAATTTTAGCACCAAATGATGGAATTAGTATGTATTTACCTGTCCTCGTTACTGATATGTAAACTGTGGAGAAGGTGTGGGGTTTTCTCATGGAGTGTCCCATTCAAGCTAGAAATGTCTGAACTAGTAACTATTCTCCTTCCCACCTCCCAAATGTACTTGAAAACATGTTTATTAAGTCTCATTATTATTTCTTTTCAAATTTTCCTTATGCCTGCTCATGTAACTGTAGTAGCAAAGGATGTCTGTTTTCAGAGAGGATGCTCAAGTAGAACAGACATGTTTACTGAGTTGAGAGAGATAATTGATAAATGTTAACAATTGCCATGTTATATCATCAGATCACACTCTGGGTATGCTAAGACTCGTCTGACCTAGCCAAGCACTGTCCACTGCAATGATCACTGTAATTTCTAAACTTTGTAGACAGAGTTTTTCCTGCATCCTGCTATATTCTCACTTTTTTCTTTTTCCTTTTTTTTTCCCCAGTTTCATCTCCATCTCTGACCTGCAGCATCAGCAGCGTATACCCTGCTGCACCCACCTGACCTGGAGTAGTAACGAATATAAAGAATGGGCTCATCAAGGACAAGGTGCTTTACCCACGCACAGAGCTTTGCCAAGGACTTACCTGATCTTGGTTGGCTATTTAACAGATGGAAGGCAAGAGAACAAAGAAAAGTTGGTAGATGGTTGCCTATATGTGAAGGACAATACTGGGATAATTCCATGTGAGGTATGTCCTTGGTCTGACGGGTTCTGTGTTTAGTCCTACTTCTGGGGCAGTGTCATGGACCACCCAGGGCTTCAGATGTTCTGCCAAAGTCTTTATTGAGGGAAATAACACATCTCTGTAGCAGGCAGGAAAACTGCAAGCTTAGAACCTGGGGATAGGACAGAGCATGTCAAATTTTTCGTGTGTAGAAGAAATACTGAATGTTCTGGCCCAGAAAAAGGAGACAGCCAGTATACTTCTGTTAAATTTGCCATAGTACAAGGCAGCCTGGGAGAGCTCCTCTCTATTTGCTGAATTCCAGCTAGTGGAGCAGAAATAACTTTCTGGAGAGTTGTACTGGGTGTTCAGTGATGCATTGATAACTTCCAGGAAATAATAGCTAGCACAGTAATTGACTTAAAAGCTTTCTGAAGGTCATTGCAAGGGGAGTCTAGTTAAGAAACAACTCTTGGAGCAGTGATGACAGAGAACTTAAGTTGTGCTTTCCAAGCAGGCAAAGACTAGAAAGAAGTTGTATTGGTATGAACTTCTAACCAAAAACACAGGGGAAAAGAAAGCAGGTGAGAATTTTAGAAAAATAGTCTGAAAATAACTAAGCCTTGCAGTGAATTAATTATCACCTTTGGGAGGGTGTTACTGTAACCGAGGGAATGCTGGCTGTAGAGATCAGCAAATGTTTTCCAGGCAAGAGGGTGGGCAGAAAACACTGCTCTCATTTAGTAATGAAGCCCAGCAGTAGACAAGTTTGTGATGCACAGGCAAAGGGTGGATTAGTAATGAATATTGTAAGTAATATTGAGAAAACATACTGTAACTCAACTCAAGCTTTTATCTCATCTTTTGGTTTAGCTCCTGCATTTTGAACTTGAGTGGCTGGAGTCGCTGTTCCTCTTCCCAAGCTGGTCATATATACCACAGACAGACCAGAGTGCAGCAGGATACTTGGAAATCCTGGAGGATCCAGTGCCAGTAAACGCCCCCAAGGAAGTACTGCACAGCGTTCCAGTCACCTACTCACCATCAGCTGAGCCACTGCTAACCTCCAGGTAAACACAGAACATGCTCAATTCCATCAGAGCACTGTTGGTCTGGTTTGACAGGTACCATGAAAAGCACTTGACTTAGGAAGAGACAAATTCTGTTTCTGCCACAGGTAAAAACATAACAGTGAGTGGTGGAAGTAAAAGTTAAACAATAAAGCCACTTTTCATTATTCATCTGTTTTCCAGGACTTGACTTAATTGGAAGTTTCTATTCTGTATTTTGATAAAATAAGACAAATCTAAATTATTTCCAGATGTATTTTGATATTACAGGGAGGATATGAGAGCAAAGTTTTAATTCAACTTGGAGGCTAAAATTTTTAGCACAACTTTTTTTTTTTTTTTTTTTTTTTTT